CCATGGATATAATGTGACGACGGTTCCTCTGAAGACTCCAGTGCCGATTGTGTCTGTGTAGGAAGAAAGGGAATGGGTGATATCTTTGAATCCGCAGATCCGAATGATTAGCGTGATTGATTGGTTGGTGGGCAGGAACGAGGAGTTGATGAAGGGCACAGGAGGGAGTGAAAGAGAGCAACAAAATGGTCAGGAAGAGTGTCTCAAGGGAAAGGGAATACATAGTCGATAGACTCACGAGACGATGATCTGAAGAAACCGGTGTGCTTGGCAAGCACTGCTGATCGCAATGGGGACCGGAGAGGAAGGGATTGCTGCCTGGAGAGGTGGGTGTGGGTCAAGAGAGAGAGAGAGAGGAGAGCAAACCCTGGATGTTGTAAGTGGGCATACAGGGTGCTGTGCTGCTTCAAAACCACCGGCAAGACTTCAACAACCCTTCAAGCAGCTCCGAATTCCCATCCATAAAATATAAGGCTCTTGAAACATCCATCAGGATGCACTACGTACTTCAAGAGCTGGCGATTCGTTTCCTCGCAAAAGTGTAATTGCCTCTTCCCATCGACCGAGTCACCCCAGCCCACTAACGCGAGGACCGCTATCCTCTTGAGAATGATCCCTCTCACTCAGCTGGAAGTTGGAACATCCGACAAGCGCTCACATAAATAGCTGGTTCCACAGTGATCGACTCATTTGCAGAGCCCATCGACGCAACCTCAGACGCATGGAGTCATCAGTCCTGCCGTCCTCCGCGATCTACATAATCTCAAACTATTTGCAGGAGGAGAAGCCATCTCGGAGATATCCACTCTCATACATAAATCCCAACTCAGCCCAACCCAATCAAAAACAGCAACACCAACAACAAAAAAGCAGCATTAGATTTACAATGATTGATCATGATTAACATGGCAGTGATCGGTGCCGAACAGTCTTGTGTCTATTTGCCGGCCTGTTATTCGGAAAGAGCCGAAGGCCGGATCAAGAAGACCCTCGACAGTATCTCGTCGGCCGACTGTTCGGATCCACCGAACCGGCGCTTCGTCGTACTCTGTGTTGGGATGATCGCTCACCATAATACTCCCGACGTGTTCGAGACTGAAAATATTTATGATGTGGGCTCACTCTGTACATTCGATGGCGTCACCCTTGCCAGTGATTTGGATTACAACTTCGAATTGAGTTTCTCATGTCTGGTGGATGATCCCTTCAAGGAAATGGGAGTTGATGAGGAAGAATACAAATCTTACAAGGGGAAGTCGGTATAACTAGTACGTCCTTTAGTTTTTATGCTTATAATGATAAACCACAGTCGATTCTCCACAGGGTTCTTCTGCCACCCATTGGGATCGCCGGCCATGAGCTCTAGTTATTGCTCCATGCCAAAGACTTGAGAATTTTCAGGCGGAATCCGCGAGTCGTCTGAATCAAACCTGACCTCTGCCCTCAGCTACATACCTCAAGTTCTTCCCCGCTCTGCTGCTGCAGATCACAAACCCTCGCCAGACGGAACCTCCAAACGTTCGGATTCTCATTTGATTTCGGAACGACTTAATGTAATTAATCACTGACGTGCGTCACCTCCCTTGGATGCAAAGAAGAGCTGAGGAAAGGGATGCATTGCGAGCGTGAGACTGTCTGGGTGTGGTAATCCACCATAGATCGCTGCGGATCGGCAAGGGCGGGAAGTGGATAAATTTTCTACTTTTTATTTACAAGTCCCAGCCAGTTTTTCCTTCCACTTGGCCGACCGCACTCAAGTGGTTTCATTCATCAAGTTATACTCTACGCCGTAGCCAAGCCGAAAAGCTCAGTCGACTCTCACCTTTTATAGCCGAAAAGAAAAAGCAAACCGGAAACCACGATGCTCGCCCGTGCTGCTCTCATATTGCTCTCGTGCCTCCTAACCGTCAACATGGTAGCCGCGACGGACGCCACACCAGAAAATGTAAGAGCGATGAATCTTCTTCTATTGTTGGAGGCGGACGTTTCTAAACCTCTCTTGTCCACTCCAAGAGAGAGAGAGAGAGAGAGAGAGAGAGAGAGAGTTGATTGTTCACGAAGCAGATAGAGACCAATCCAAACCGATTTGACACTGAAACGCTTTTTTTTTGATTGCCGGATGATGTAGAGACTCTGTAGCGGAGGCAAGATCGTGGGTATCCTCGTTGGTGGCGCGGTCATCCGGACGGATCCCAACGGGACTTGGAAAGGAGAGCCGAGCGGCAAGGGATGTCAGTGCAGCAGCAAGGGCTTCGGATGTCTCACTGCCCCAAAATCCGGTTACTTGCCCACCAAAACGCCCACGACTTGTGTCAAGTTAGACCAGCCTTGCAACTGATGGTGCTCGATGTAGCCCCCTCTTTATCCTTGTTTGTATCCACACTTTCATACAATCCCTTCTCTCTTCTTCAACCTTTTCTCATCAACACACAGAGTTCGCCGAACACACCGGCCACAGTTCATCTTTTCTTCCCTGTCTCCTTTGTCTCATACGCGTAGGAAAATCTGCCACTATCATGCATCTGCAACTTTCTTGAAGACAAGCATTTTTTCCCGGGCAGTGGCAGTCAGACCCATGCAAGGCCAGGCAGGGAGCCCGGCGGCTGTACATACATAGCTCGAGTGCCACCGAGCTGAACAACCCCGTTAAATCAGCCCACATGATAAGCAGAGTTTTGAGGATCAGGGACTCGTGCCAGTTTGGTGGGACCGTGCATGCGTCTTCGGATCAGAAGACAGCTCATCAACGGCCGACCACACATGAGATCATGCACAATAATATACACACATCTCAAGTCCCTTTTCCTCAGAGTCAAGAAGAGCCCTATAGCATATCAACCAAGCCAGTTCAATTTGCCCACTCCTGTGCACACAATGCAGGTGATCAAAGACCTAATAAAGTTTGGTGCTGGGTTAATGAGAATGGCAACTCAGAAAGCTTCTTTTTTTTTAAAAGCAAAAAAAAAAACAGACGAAAGGTACTTTTTTTTTTAAAAAAAAAAAACAAGAATTAAAAGTTGAAGGGAACATTATTGATAACTTGATGGGTAATCTAGAGCGGTTTAAAGCAGAGAAAAATGCGCGGAAAAGCATCTAACAGTCCTTCCGAAGCAGAAATAAGTCCAGGGGTGAAGAAAGGAAAAGTATTCAGTCCATAAGATGCTAACCGTCGCTTTGAGTCTCCAACGGAATGTTCCTTGTTCGCAGGTGCCTCAGATTCGGGACTTCAACACTTTAGCGTATTCCGCGAGAGTCTCAATGGTCTGATCTACCATAGACCGGGAATCTGTATGCGGATGCTCGTATCCTTCTGCAACGGATTACACTTAGTACACGGTTATCTAGAACCTCTTCAGCTTCCTTATCCGATCGAGAGTTGATTGCCTGGCCTCTTTTTGCGGGACTGATGTCGCAATATCGATGGGTGCTGATGGATGAAAGCCAGTCGAGAAAGCTCTCTTTGGAGAGACTCGTTAGATTCGATACCCAGAACCACGAGAATCGTTGAGAATGAGATTTCTCTGTTCATGAGGCGGATACACCAGAGTTTCCCCAACCAAGTCTTCTCTTTTTTCCAACTCCTTGCAAAGCTTCTCAAGGGCATCGAGATACTCCTGAAGCGTGTTGGCTTGGGAATTGTTGATGAGAAACAATCAGCTGGGAAGGGACAAGTTTGAGATGAATGACGATCAAGCAACGACGTTCACTTACATACATCCGACAATACTGCAGAAGGATCTGAATCTTTCTTCTGCGTTGGGGATTCTTGGATGCATAGCGATTAGGCAGATAGTATTGCGGCTTCTTGAATTGATAGCGACGCAGACCGTGAGTGATTGTCTCCCTCCATTGCGGTAAACTGGAGAATTCGAGTCTCGGGCGTAAGATGATTGGTTTTTTATCACCAAGTCATTTTCACAGCATCTGGGGGGAGATTGATGCAGTGACGTCATCCGACCTCTTTTTTTTTTTTTTTTTTTTTTTTTTTTAAAGTGCAGATTTGATTTAACATTGCGCACTATGCATATTCATCTGGCGGACAAGTTTACGGCCGTACACATGTAAATAGAAACTAAGAAGAAATGGCTGAGTTGCTGTAAGAATTTATGCTAGTAGGGTACTTGAGGAGAAAGGAGAGAAATAGAAAGAAAAAAAAAAAAGAAAGGGTGAAGAAGGTGTAGGGAAGGGGGAAATCGGGAAAGCGTCGGGTTTGCATAAAGGTGTTGGTAGTTGCTCATTGGTGGGTTCCCTCAACGTCTTCCCTCTGTCTGAACTGGGGGAGCCTGGCCGAGATTTGGAGGAACGCTTCGGTTGCCTTGAAGGCTCTAGCGTTGTGGAGGAGAGTTCTTGCCGATATCTCGTTGATCCTCTCGTCGCGGAGGATCCCTCTGGCTACTGTCCTTGCTCCGCTGAACCTAGAACAAGAGACAAGATAATGATCAACTGACTCGGTGACTCCACACGTTGGGCATATTGGGTATGGAGCCTTTTTGCACTTGAACTGAAAAGCATTTAGTGGTACATGACCTGATCGGAGTTGATGGATCGCGGATTGGATTGGGAATGCCATCCGCGGTGACCCTTTCCACAGCCGCTCCTTCTGTATCAAGGATGTCTTCTCGGCAGCCAGGCTGCCTCTGATTGATTCGTCGAGGAAGGTTGGTTGCCGGGCCTCTGCTGCTTTCCTGTCTGCCAGTTCATTGCCTTTGATGCCAACGTGGCCTGGGCACCACCGAATGATGATCTGTGTTGAGGATGGGATGGATTCAGCAATCTCTTCAATTTGAGACAAAATATATTGGCCTGGTTTGGGGGCCCTTGGGTTTTCCAGCCTATCAATCGCCGCTTGGCTGTCCGTCAAGATGATCAGTTGAGCACCAGATTTCGGAAGTTGCGCTGCTCTGCCCATTTCTAGCCCGAGTCGAATGCCAACCAGCTCGCATTCAAAGTTTGAAGCCGTCCCCGGTGGGCCCAAGAAGGCAAGTTTTGATGTTCTACCGTCCCTTGATACTGCAGCTGCCCCTAACCCTTCCTCCGGGTGTGCGGATCCGTCAGTAAATATTATCAGATTGGATGAAGGGTCCAAGGACCCGAGTAATGAAACTACTGCTCTTTTAGCCGCCTGTTTGTCAACCCTGTCAATCACCAGTTCCACCTTCCTCCCGCTTTTCCAGGGGGGGTGTTCTTCTTGGATGAAGTTTATTGCTTCAAGCCTTTTTGCCGCCACTGGAGCCAATGCCTCACGGTTGAGGGAGGCGTGTACCGGGCTGGGAAAAGTCCTTGCCTGCCATAGCAGTTCCGTTCGGATTTGCTGTTCTACTGGTGAAGGCCTGTGAGTTGCCCTGGTCATCTTCGTAAGAAAGAAGTTAGTGATTCTGTTGCCAGCAGTCTTGACAATGCTTCTGAAGGGCCGATACTTGTCAAGATACTTGATTGGCGTGGATTTTAGTGCTCCTAATGCAAAACGTGCTGCCGAGTGTTCGATTAGACCCAGCAAAGTTGAAACTTTCTGCTTGTTCATTGAGGTGAACCAGACTTGCACGCCGTACAACACCCGGGGAATGAGGACCGCTGAGACCAGGAGCCCGCGTTCCTGTTCCCAAATCCCCCACGTCGAGCTGCCAATCTTTATGAGTTGTCCTAGGGTGTCGTCAGCCTTCTTCTTCACCTGGGTCAGCTGTTTGCTGAAAGTCAGTTTTTCATCGAGCCACAGGCCTAGCCATTTGACATCTTTTCGCGGCTCCAGCTCTTGACCATCAAAGAGAAAGGGGGACTTAGCCAGTCTTGCATGGGTGAAAACTACATATTGCGCCTTTGGGCTATCAAAGATAGCCCCGTGGTTCCTGCCCCATAGGAGCGAGGCCTCCCCTAGTTGTACCAATCGGGTCCTGGCTGCCTCGACTGTCTTCCCCGCCGTGAGATGGACCACGTCGTCGATAAAGCCCAATGAGACTTCATCTCTGTCGAAATCAAATTTTTGGATCAGTAAATCAGAGTTGTACAGGATGTAAAGAATGACTGATAAGGGAGAGCCTTGAGGAAGCCCTTTATCAATGGTGAACTCAGCTGATTCGTAGTCTGCAAGTCGCAGTTTAGTGCGGCGCCCCTCCAAGAAGCGGCCTATTATCTTCCATAAGTAAGTGGGGCATCCTTTCTGCCGAAGAGAATGAATCAGGCGGCGGGGGTCGACTGAGGGGTAGGCCGATTTCACATCGAGGAACAGGGCTGTTACCGTTTTTCCCTCTCTCCATTTACGCTTCACCCACATTGTTAGCGCCATCAGCGCATCCTCACAGCCCTTCCCTCGGCGCCCCCCTGAGTGCCCGTCGGGGATGATTCCTTTGGATTCTGCCCAGAAAGTAAGGCGGTCAGCTATGGTGGATTCAAAAACTTTGCTTAAAGTGTTCAAAAGAGCTATAGGTCGGTACGCCCCGGGGTTGGTGTAGTCCGGTTTTCCAAATTTTCTTATGATGACTGTGGTTGCGGTGCGCCAGGAAGTGGGGAAAAAGTCCGCCCTGATGCATCTGTTGAAAAGGGAGACAAGAGCGTCAGCAAGTTCGGTCTTGACTAGCGTGAGGACCTCATTGGGGATGCGGCTGGGGCCTGAGGCCTTCTTCTTTGCCAATCTACTTAGTATCCCCAGTACCTCCTTGCGGGTGACGGAAGGGTATACCGCAAAGGTGGAGTGTTCCGGTGGAGGGATGTCTGACACCTTGCATGCGCTGTCTACTACTGATGTGCCATCAAAGAGGAGCTTTGCTTGTTCCTCCTTGTTTGAGGTGACGGTACCGTCCTGGCCCCGCAGCGGGAGGACTCCCCCTCCGCTTCTAGGTTTGGTGAATTGGAAAGCTTGATAGACCGTTGTCGCATCTGTGGTTGCCAGAAAGTCTCGCCAGTGCTTCTGCTTGAGTCTGCCAACTTCCTCGCGGAATCTATTGTTCCAGTGATTAAAGCGGTCAGTATTTTCCTGCGTCGGTGCCATCACTAGGAGTCGGCGACACTTATTCCTTATCTTAACGAGAGGGCCAAGTATTTCCTTGTCCCACCACTTTTTAACTTTCCCGTGATTGACTCTTGTCCTTTTCCCTTGGTCCTGCCAGGCAGTGAATAAACTTGTAGTCAGCCGTTCTTCCACTTCATCTATGTCCAGTTGCGGGGAGATAAGACTCAGCTGTCGCAGGTTGTGCTCCACGGTCTTTCTAAGCTTATCTTGGTCCAAGTCGGCTGGCCTGGGGGCCACCACCCGGTAGGTCGGTCCGGGGGGGCATGTTGTAAGCTGTGATAAGTTTTTGTTGTCGGACCCGTGGTTGTCCGAGGACGTGGTTGTCTTGTGGAGCAACTGAGATGCGCGGAAGTTGGCCCAAGTGAGGTCAATCGTTGTTCGCAATCCCCGGCTGGACAGAAAGGTGGGAGAGTCTTTTTCAGATACCAGCCTGAAGCCTTGGCTACCACACAGTGAAACAAGCAGCTTAGCTCCAGGATTTGTGATGGAGGTTCGAGTCCATCCCGATGATTGTTGCGATACGGCGGTCGTTGGTTGTGCCAAGCCAGTCTTGGAGCTGGTTGATACCCGTTGTTGTGCCTGGTGGGTTGTAAACATTAAGGACCCGCAAGCGGGTCCCGGTAAGTAGTATTAGCTCCAAAGCAATCAAGAACTTACTGTTTCCCCCCAGGACTCGGATGTTCTGGGAGGTAAGTGATTTGCGGACATAGGTCACAGTCCTGTGTTTATCCTTGATGTCTGTTGGTTGATGTTCTGGGCTATAAAAAGTCCACCACGCTTCGTGGTCAGGAGGAAGGCAAGTCAGTGGGTTAATCCAAGGCTCTTGAATGATGAGGGAAATGACTGAGTCTGGCTCAGTGTTGAGAATACTATAGGTTGTCGCTTGGCTATTGTGGCAGTTCAACTGCACAATAAAGGAGGGCAAAAAGGTTTCATTGCTAAAAACAAAAGGAGGGGTATCTACAACAGAGGAACTAGGACAAATAGGTGTTAGTGTAGGGCCTAAATTATTCATTTCGGATATGATTTTTGGAAATTAGCCATGCCCGTTTCACTCCGCACGCCTTATCAAAAGGCGTGTGGGTTTCCCAAATCTCTTTTCCTTTCCCTGAATCCCTGCAGATCACACACAGCTTTCCTGTTGGTCCTGTTGTGTCCTGGCAGTCGCGCGTCTCGTGTTTGCTGCCGCATTTTCCGCATTTGGCGTCGGCTCGACACCATTTGCCAAAATGGCCCATCTGGAGGCACTTGAAACATTGCGGAGGGAGTTTCTTGAATCGTTCGACCCTATGGTAGCTGCCGCTGAGGAATAGGCCCCGTTGCTTCAAGAGTCGGTCCGCCAGCTCTGGTTCTGTGAACGCAATGACTACTGTGCCGGCTTGACAAGGATCGTTCGGGTCTCTGGAGCCACCCAGCCAGCGCATCCTGAAGATCTTTTCCGATATGAATTGGTTTTCAGAGGCAATCATGATCTTGCTAGTGACCGCGTTGACGTTGAAAGTGCGCGGTATACCATGAGCCAGGACAGAGTACGTGCTGGGGGTTGCCTCAAGATCTGGGTGGATTTGCTTGCTCCATTCATGTTTGTTTCGATTCAGCCATTCCTTCTGTTGTCGGTTTTTAGAGTAAAAAGAGACGTCACCCAATGGTAAGACACGGACAGCTTTCACTGTCACCTTCTCTCCTTGGACCGTTGCGTTCAGCTTTTCCAAAACCTCGTTCGTCTTCCGAACCACTATCTCGGCATTGACTTCCTTCAAGGGGGTGGTTCCGGTTCTTGAGTGGATGATGGTCAGGCCAGGTCTGGCGGCTACCATTTCAGATTTGGACGGGGGCTGGGGAGGGGCCTTCGGCTTTGCAGCCGTCGACGCGTAGGACTTTCCGGGTGCTGGCGGTTTACGCGTCAATTGACCAGCCTCAATCGTGGTGACGCGCGAGACAACATCTTGTAGCGTTTCGGCAACCTTGTTGAGGCAGTGGCTTCTTCTGGCCTCGCCTTCGATGAGTTGGAGCAGTAGCGCCTCCGTTGTCGCGTCAAGATTCAAGATGCCAGATTCGCTTCGCCTGGTCGGGTCGGCTTGGATGGCCCTGAAGAAATTGAGCAGGGGGAATTCCTCCGGAGGTGGTGCAGCATGTGGCTGTCGGCTGGTTCCAGTGGCGGTGGCCGTCTCTGTTGCGGCATCCATGTTTACATCCGTCGACGCGTCCTGTCGGTTGTGAATCGAGTTCGTCAGTGCGCGAATCGATAGGGTACCTGTGTGGGGGTCAGGAGGGGGGAGGGGGGGGGGGATCGCCTGGCGGCATGGTAAGGGGGGATGAGTTATGTTCTGTCGACGAGGGGTGAGTTTGTGAATTTTTGGGGGAGGGGGGTGAATTTTAAAAATTTCGACGTGGTTGGACCGGGGGTAAGGGATAGAAGATACGCCGGATCGGGGGATCCGGGAGGGTGAGCGACTCACCCCTCTTTGGTCTTGATCACCATCTCCCTTACATCATCTCTCTCCAGACTTCAATCAACATCAATCGACACGACATGGTTTCCCATCCCCCTCAACCAGGCCCATCCAACTCTCGAGCCTCTCAAGCACCTGATCAACGACTCTCAACCGAACCCCCTCAAACACTCAAACTTCTGCTGATCGGGTCCTCCTCAGTTCAGTCCATCTTACCATCCATTTGTTTCATGGATCCTCAAACGAGAAAAAGAAGCACAGAATGTAAAAGATGGTGATGAGAAACTGATGAGCTAATGTATCCTCGTTTTTCAATTCTGAAACAAAAAAAAAAAGGTTGGCAAGTCATCGTTGCTATTAAGGTTTACAGACCAAGTATTTTTATCCGCCGAAGAGTCATCAGCAACGATTGGGGTTGACTTCAAATTCAAATTGATCGATCACAAAGGCAAAAGATACAAATTAAGCATCTGGGACACTGCTGGTCAAGTAAGTACGCTCCACCCCTATCATCTCGAGGACATACATCCGGGGTTTTATGAAGTCTACATCACATCACAATTAACTGACTATTTGATTGGTTGATTATTTCAGGAACGGTTCCGGACTTTGACGAGTAGCTATTACCGCGGTGCTCAAGGGGTTTTACTAGGTTTGTGTGTGCTGTTTTTTTTTCTCACCCACTCCTGTTTCAGCCCGCAATCGTTGACCAGAACAAAAAAAAATGAAATATTTAGTGTATGACGTCACCAATCGAGCTTCGTTCGAATCATTGCCCTCTTGGTTTAGCGAATTAGATACGTTCGCTCATTCACCACAAGATGTAGTACGAGTGATTGTTGGAAACAAAGTGGATAAGGTTAGTCAACATGAACCAAAAACAAAGACAAAGAAAACCCCAATACCCCGACCAATTTCATCGCTTTTGAATGATAAGTCCTGATGGGGTGACTGGTGTTGTATAGGATGAATCAAGGACAGTTTCAACTGACGAAGGGCGGGCATTTGCGAGTGATAATCATGCGATGTTTTTCGAGACGAGCGTGAAGACGAGGAAGGGAGTGGATGAAGTATTTGAAGCGGTGGTCGACAAGGTACAGTTGTCTCTCTGCCTGTTTCTCTTTCCTTCCTCCATTTACACAACTACACCGAAAACCTAACTGCGATATGTGCATTGTGATACCAAGATCATCGATTCAATTTCTCTACAACGAGCCAGACAGGGTTACCGTAATGACTCGAGAACGTTACCCGGCAGTATCGACTTGGATGCTTATAGTGACGATGACCAAGCCGGAAGCTGGTGTAACTGTTAAAAACATTCATATCTGGGCTGTTACTCTGTATTTCGGTCGACAACCTCGTCAAACTCAACAAGATCAAACCATTATCCCTACTTGTATATCACATTGTGTATTGTAGTATATACTTGTTAGATCATGGACACACGTCAAATCTAAAAATATGATGGGGCGGGTTGATGATGCAGAATGCAAATATCTTACTCCTTGTATTGTATCCACACAATCATCTATACTTATTCTAATGAGACTTATTTGGTTCTTTACATTTCCCTTTCAAACAGTCATTGTGTTTTTTGATGTTGTTAAGAAAGTCCTAATTTTGTGATCATTGGTAAACTGATGAAAGTATATGTAGAGCAGTGAGGACAAGTATGATCTGTGCAGATAAGCTTATCATTACCTTCAAAGATACTTGTCTTGAAAACAAATCTGAATATCACAAGACTATATTGGAAACAGCCATGTTTGTGTGCATGATGTAGCAGAATATAGTGAGACTAAATCTTCTATCAATCTCTTCATTTTTATTGTTATTTAGAATGTTTGTTTTTTTCTTGCATGCAAACTTCAAACTGATCTGAACTCTAAAAACAAACAGCAACTAAATATCAATCACACTTGCTCATTTTGTTTGGACCTTGGAAGTGACTGGGAAATGGAAGGAAAACCCAAGAGATGTATAAGTGGATATTCTGAACTTGACAAAGTCTCAGCTGTGGCAGGTGCATCTGGCAGCATAGCGCTGGCCAGGCTGAGGCAGTTGCCAACGGGAACTCCCAGGGGAGACTTGCGCCAAAGGTCAACTTACTGGCATGCTGAGTTTCTACTGTTTTGGTGGGAGCAGCACAAGATTTTGAATCATGAAACTCCCTGATCAACCCTTTATGGATGTTTGGTCTGGAATTCTTGAAGACCTGCAGGATCCTATTGATCCAGCCAAAATTTGAGATTTGAACATCACAAGGGTAATTAAGATTGATTTTCTAAAATTATGGTTTGAAGTTCTTTTGAGCAAATGCGGGGTTTGCTCAACTTGGGCTCACCAAAAGAAGCCAACTTGAGTTGAAAAGTCAACCTTTTCAAAACATTTCTGTCAATTATTAGCAAACATGACAAAAAATATTTGAACACAAAGAAATATGGTGAAGAAGCAGGTCCCCCCCTGTACCGGAAGGAAACTACATGTATGTGAATGAAGGAGTGGGGAGAGTGGAAAACAGACAAAAAAGTGAGTTTTCAGCCCAATTCTGAAAACTCACCACACCGGGATTTCTGCATCAGTCATGGGCCTCCACTGGCATGGACAGCTCCACTGCTTGCTACCACTCCCACCATGGAGGCCTAGTTAAGCTCATGGATGTTCATGTTGTTTCCTAGTATGAATTTTAACATATGTCTATACTTTCAAACTCTCATGTCATTATTTTTTATACATAGTTTGTTGTTTTATATTCTAGTATACATTTATGGCTCATCAACCAAATTATGTATTTACAGATTCTTATACAAAATATAGTTTCCCCTTGGGGGAGTGTTCTTGTTTTCACTTGAATAATAGGATTCCAGGCTTAACATTTCATACCAATTACATGAGGTTCACCAAGATAATGGAAGTTCAACTTCATGTATCAATCAAAAACTGAAGGGGATTCATTGGATCCCTCTTTGGTGACTTGTAATATTTTGAAAATTCTTTTTTTCTTTTGAAACTGATTTATCTCACTGAGAATTGCTTCTTTTAATAACTCTTAAAAACCAATTCTGGTCCTTAAGTGTACATACACTTACAATTCTGGTCCTTAAGTGTACATACACTTATTCATCTGGATTGTTGTTAAAAGACTTGATCCCAAGTGAGTAGAAGGAATCCTCACATTGGAAGCCTATTAATCCACATAACAGGAGTGATCTGGATGCCCAATTGAACAATTGGATGAGTCAGCAGTAGAAGTAACATTCCTCACTGACTCCTCCCTGTTTCTTTTACAGGTTGAGGGATTTTTACCACGAATGAACCATTACTTTACACTTCTTGTTAACACTCATAGCACAACCCACTCAGTTTAGTAGCATAGAGGCTTAAAGCCCAGATCTGGTAACAGGCAATTGATGTGAAGTCCTGTCCTGGCAGCAGTTGACACAATGTCCCAGTACTGGGTGCGCAGCAGATCCGCGAGTTCCCCAGTATTTACATATGTACTTATGCATAATGTTTTTTACCTTTACATCTTTTTATCTTATCTTATCTTTACTTTATCTTATTCATATGTATCTTATACATCTTGATTACATATGAACCCAAAGTATTATATTATCTTTTGATTACTTATTAAATACCTATCTGTTTTACACATAAGTAATTATACTTATCTTTCACTCCTTTATCCGTGCAATGCCTGTACCACAAGCTGTCCTTGCTATACAGTATTTTGATGGTCAAATATCATTACAAATAGATATGTACTAGTATCGAATGTTAATTATTCATTGTCAATAGAATTAATACATTCAATACATGTACTGATCACAATAATGACATCATTATTAGAGGATCAGTTAAAAGTGCACACATCAAGAGCAACTAGTACATTGATCAACTAGCACACAATTATGATATCACTTACTGATTGTGACAAATAATGATTAGTCACTTGATTGATGTGCTCATTTGCCTGTCCAAAGATCCCTTGGTTCCGAGCGCTCATTCTTTCCCTCCTTCAATATTCTGGAACATATAATCCATGCCAACTCCACTGATAAATCCCCAGAATATTCAGACACCAGTTAAACCAGTTAAAATTTATATTGATAGAGTCAATATTCCAAAACCCAATCAAGTTTTGTGAGTTGGCACCAAAAAGAGATAAAAAAAACCTCCCAACAGCCGGAGGAATCCTCCTGGCCATCAGAAGTGAACCAAGAATGTATTCCAAGAGTGTACATCTCTTGATGACCAAGATGAATCCTCTTGACCATTGAGAGTGTATGCTCTCAAAGGGAGGTACAGCATAATTAGTCTTCTGGCCTATACTAGAAAAAAGCAATCAGTACCACTCACATTTCTCACTCATATTGTTCCCCATGGATAAGAGATTTAGGAAGATTAATTTCTTACAAAGAAATGAGAAATCCTTGGAAGTGTTTCCCTGGCACTGATAATTCAAATTTTGGCTGTTCAAGTTTGTAAGATCAGTAGGTCAGATTCTTATTTAATTTTTGTAGAATGTGGAAGTATTGTGGTTTTGGTTTGCTAGTAGCAGTTTGATCCCCTTGAAAAATTGACAAGAGTACAAAAATGAGTTATGGGAGAGGGTCATTTTTATTTTTAGATTGCATCTTGTGTGAATGTGAAATGGAAAGATGATGTGGAAAAGGGTGTGTTGATAATTCAATACAATCTTATTGGTGCTAGAGAGTGTTTGTGGTTTACCCATAAATTTTGCAGATTAGTTAATTGGAATGGGTGGGCATTTTGCTTTGCAGAGTTTGCTTGTGCTTCTACTGACTTGTAAGGTCAGAGTTCACGAGCTCATCTGTTTTCAGCCCTGGTTTCCCCTTGTGGTATAAAAGAGCCATAACCCACAAAATTATAAGTGTATCAAAACATTAAACACAACTCACATTGCAAACAAGGGCAAATTTGCTTCAAGCTGAACTGACTGCACAAAAGTTTAGAACCAGATGTGTCACAAACAAAGAAGGTACCTTTGCATATCCTGGAGGAACGAGCTAAACTCCCTGGGTGTGCTTCTTATTCGTCACCATCTGCTGCAGATGAAACAGGGAATGAAAGATTTCGGTGACTCTTGGGGGTCGTCATCATTTGATGACGTAAAGGCCATGTTCCGAGCCACCAAACTTGATCCAAGCTCCTTGTCCTTGATTTCCTGCACGTGGCCTAGGAGTTGCCTACGCCGGCATAGGCAGAGATTTTGGGAGCCGATAGGGTGTCTCTCAGAGGCCAGTGTTGGGCTCGCCAAGCCGCCCACCCAAGTCAGATCGAGTACGCGTCTTGACGGTGCATGTCTTGGCTGGGCATTACATATTTCTAGCTCTAAGGCGCACTCACCTATCTCAAAATGGCCAAAGGAGACAGAAAGTGAACCATTATCCCCGCTCTCCCGGTACTTGCAGACAGAACCGCGCAGCAAGGGGAAATCCTGTAACCCAGCGGGGTTCCAGACAGCGCATAATGGATCACGGCATGTGGGGAAAGGAGGGAATATGGGCTTTTTGGCCTTGTCCCTTATGAAGACATGTATACAGAAATATTTACCGGTCCACACTTGTGCTTTACATGAAGCCAAGAAATATCATAGCCATTGTGCTCACTGCGCCAATGCGACAAAGTGGAGTCCCCGCTGCCGCTCGGGAAACATCAGGATGTGAACCAATACAGCTCGTTCATGAAACTGTAAATAGATGTCTTGGCTGAGTATCAGTTTAATGTTCAGTCATTGTGTTGAGTACGCTCTTGGTTTTGCGGTTGCACCAAGCCCATGAAATGCCGAACGTATTTATAGGCTGAACTTTTCACCTCATCAAAAGTTTTCTGTTTCGCACCTCTTGTACTCCGTTCTTCTTACTTCACATCACCGGACCACAATCTTTTGATTGTTATTCGATATCTATTAAAGCATTTTACAATGCAAGCCTTTGAAGCATCCTTGTCAATTATTATCTTTCTCATATTCTTTTCTTCTTATCATTCCCTGGAGATTAATCGTCTTCAAGCTCGATCATTGAGTTCCCACAGCTCTCAGATTGTTTCATCTGCTTCCAAACCAGAAGAGGCTGTGGGCAAATCACAAAACCTTGGGCATCTTGGGAGTTCAGGTATCAAACCGTCCATCTCTGAAGGCATTGCAGCTTATAAGGAACCCATTGGTCTACATGTTCCATTGGTAACTCCAAACAGCAAAAATCCCTTGGACAATGCAAAAGATATGCCACAAAAATCTGAAAAGACACTAATCTTCCAGGCATCTGATGACGCCTTGAAGATTCATCGCCCAAATCCTTTGGCAGAAGATTCCCTTAAAACATTGCCAAAAGTAGGTTTAATTCACTACACATTTTGAAGCTTTCATGAATGAAAAGTACTGTAACTCAAAGGAGTACATTGCTTTGCACACTAGGATGAAACAAAAAAGTCAAAGTTTGTTGTATTTTTTCAAAAGTTGAAATCAAAAATGTAAGTTTTTATTTCCAACTTTGCTAGTTTTATCCAAGGCCTCATGCTTAATTACATCTATCTAATTAAACAAATTTTTGAGTGTAAATGCTTGGAAAGACCTTAAGTATATGTATAGGAATGTCTTCAGAAATCCACTTCCTGATTTGGAAGTAGTGAGATTTGGTAGGTCTTTATAATATCCCACCATTTCAATCCAAGTTAGCTGTACCAAACTTACATGAACCATATGTTCTTTTGCACACCATTTTCTTTTTTACTCTAGAGAATGCAAGGAATATGATTGGGAAGCATCTTGCTTTGGGTGGACGTGAGCTTGAGGAAGCTTCTGGGAAACCTTTCAGTTTGAAGAACTTGGCCAAGACTCTTGATGAGAAATTCCCAATATTCCTGAGCTATGACAACAGAGCCCAAGTGGAAATGTTATATGAATACTACCTGAAATTCCTCAAGCAATATCAACTCATTTCAGATGAGAAAAATGTTGCTAGGAAAAGTTGGATGTCTAAGTTACAAACTGAAATACTTGCTGATCATGAGGAAACCAAGGCTGAAATATCAAAATGCTTGAAAGAGCTACAACAACCAAACATTAAACAAAAATTTAAAAAAGAATATGATCAAATAGTTAACAATATCTTTAACTCCATGGAAGGGAAACTCACAAAGGAAGATATTGAAAAACCCTTCCAAAGTGCTTTTGAAGAAGGAAATTCCAAAAATCTAATCAACTTGGATAAACTTGTCAATGCTCGAGAAGTTCAGTTGAAGAAAAGATTCCCTACAGACCCAAGAGTCTTGGACTTGGAGCATGTATTTCAAAATCTGCCTACAGATATGGACATTAAGGAGTTGGTGTTCCGTTATGTCATGATAGAAGGATTTGAAAACCTTGTGAAAGGTATACATCCAGACCTAAACAAAATTCTAAATACTCAAGCTCAAACTGGAATAAACATTGTTCTCAGAAAAGATGCATCTGTTTTCAAGAATGCTGCTAGAGAAGATGATGAATGGCTTGAAAATTCTTTTATGAAATTCTATGGAACTACTGTGGGCCCAAAAGAAGTTTTTGACAGGTTGAAGGGATTACCACAAGAAGAAGAGATAATAAGGTACACTCTCATTAAAAATATTGAATCAATCCAATTTCTTAATCTGGATCAATCAAACATCCTTTTCCAGGCACCTAGTTGTAAAATCTTCAAGGAACAAGTGAAATTGTTTGAAAAAAACATTAGGAAATCTGAAGATCCTGACAAAAATCAAAAAATAGAGGCATTAGGAGATCTTAGAATTGAAGCTCAAAAATATTACAAGTTTAATCTACCACTTGTCAAAGAGCTAAATGATAAAGGAATTTTAGATGAAGGATTCATTCTTTCAGCTGAAGGAAGTAAAAAAGACTTTTTAGAAAAGTTAGGCACACCAGAGGTATTCACAAAACACTTGATGGATAAATTTGAAACTGACCTGGAAAAACATCTTGAAGCAATAACAGAAGAAAAAAGACAAAGACTAGTGGTAGATACAGCTTTGCGGGTTTCACAATCACAACTAAATCCAATTGAACATGAAGCTAAATCTTGGTATCTAACAAAAGATGCATTTCAAAATCCAAACTCATTCAACTTTAACCAGGCCCTACAGGTTTATAATCCTGAATTTAGTAAATTTTTTAACACTCCCATGGACACTCATACTTTAGCAAGAGCATACATGGACTTGGTGTTTTTGAAACATCCATTCAGGAATACACCAGTTTCATCTGTAATTGGCAAACAAATTGCAGAAACATTGGACCTCAAACTTCAAAAAATTGAAAACTTGCTATATCAACATTTTCCAAACCTGGGAAAATATTTTGAAGAGCTCTTGAAGACTAAAGGATATTTTTCAATTCCAAATACACCTCCTCAAGCAAAGGTCCCCAGGTATATCAATGCTACACCTCTGGTGGAAGCTTTGTCAGCAAAGAGACCTCTACTGGCATCATTTGCCTCATCATGAAAGTTTCCTCAGAATGATAAGCTGATTTGTATGTGCCCCAAAAGGACCATTGACATGTTATTCAATTTTCCAAGGAAAATCAAACTCAATTCATATTGACATGATATATTTCCACATTGATGCTATCTTCTTATCAAAAAAACATACTTTTGAATGATGAATTTGTTCAAATTTTTAATTCTTGGAAATGGACCTCATCTTTATTAGATACTTTATTTGGGTTGGGTCATTTTTCTTCTGATTGATATGATTTGGTATCTGAATGCACTGTTTTTGCTGCTTCCTTTACACTGCTTTTGCTTCTCCAATGGATTGTATGAATTGATCAAAAAAGTCATGAATTTCACAAGAGTTTAGGATATCATTTATAATTAGGGGTTGCCTGTAGCCTGTTGTGAGCAAAGAAAGATGTTTACTTTATTCATCAAGGCAGGTGTGATGTCACACCAAAAAGAGTTGATACAGCAGCATCTCAAGCTGAGGAGGGTGAAAAAGTTTATTCCAAAGGGGATTTGGACAGAGTATGAGAGTAAGTCCATTCATTCAGTTGATGATGTTTGGCAGTATTGCAGAGGAGAGCAAGTTGTCCAAAAAAACCAAAAAAATAAACATGCTGCTATGATAGGTTCAGTCAAAGAACAAATGTATAGATAAATAGAAGGCGGTTTGCAATAGAAATGGGTTAAGATGAGTGTACTTGGACTTCTACAACACGGAAAAAGGGATGCTCAAATAGATAAGTTAAAGATGATATATATACAGTAGCATGCAGTAGCAAACAAAAATATGACTTTTTCACAGCATTTCTCTGCATGGGAAGGATGGGGAGGGAGGGGTATGTAGTATCCGACATGGGTGAGATATGCATGAGAATAACGACATAATAGATTTTCACAGGTATTGCTCATGATCATCAGAAGTAACGAAAAGCTAAATGAAAAGAAAACGTAGGAGCCGTTTTTTCTTTCTTATCCTTTGTCGTGATGATTGAATGATCTGGTCCTGCTGAGGTTTGCTGAAGTGAGCCGATTATAATAAGATGTAAATGACAAGAAAGGTTTGTTTTTCCTCAATCCGGTTAAGCCCCAAATGAGCGAGCTGGCTTTGACAGATGCGAAGAAAAAAAACAAATGAAATAAGATAAGATATAAAAAATGCGTCAAGTAAACTCGTTGAGTTTAGTATACATTAAGTATAGCTAATGCGGCTGCAGAAACAAAAATAACTAAGTCTCGGGTGTTTTGAGAGCTAATAGAGATCGAAGGTTTGGCAGCGTTAGCAGCCTTTGAAGGCGCGTTGACTGAGGTTTGAGAGGTTTCGCGTCTGGAAGTTGGGGATGAAGAAGCGTTGCCACCGTTTGCGGTTTCGATGTAGCCCTCGGAGAGAGGCTTGCCCAAACAGGTGATGATCGGCTCGATGGTCAAGTTTCCAGCAGCGATTGCTGCTGGTAAAACAAACTCCACAGCAAGCGCAACACTTTGAGGGTAGAGATCGTGTGCCAACACTGCGAACAGTACAACCGAGTTTGAGCATGTCTAACTTCGTGTGGTAGAGTGGATTGAGATAAACTCACCAATGAACCCTTGGGGAAGGTCTGGAGCTCCGGCAATGATAGATTGGAAATTTTTCAAAACTTGAGCGGGGGTGACGATCCCAGTGGAGATTTTCCAATCTGAATCATGATCAGACGCGGAGTTCAGCTCGACGTCGTTTTGGTGCTGAGTTTTCGTAAGTGAAATCATAGCTCACCCTGGGTATCAAAGGTTTGTCCAGAAGGTGCAGTTGTCCAGATGATAGGAGTTAGCCCCATTGACATGGCAATAAAGCGCACCCGGTCATCGATATCTGTTTGGGGAGTGAATGATGAAGATAAATCGTCCGCAGAGTTGTTCAATACAGTTAAATTACTTACCACCGTAAGGAGGACGCATGGTGTTAGGTGTAACACCCAGAACATCTTTGATCACTTTCTTTGACCAACCAAGCTCCGCGACAATCTCCACATTGGAGAGGGTGGTTAGGTAAGGATGGGACCAAGTGTGGACGCTACGCAAACAACTCTGCTGAGTTAGTGGGGTACCAAAAAAACAAGGAAGAGATGACGGCAACTTACGATATCTGATGTCCTGATTGGTACTCGTATTGCAACATTGCGGGTCGACTGAGAACTCTTGATCCAACCACGAAGAACGTGGTCTTAAGCTTTTGTTGGTCCAAGTAGTTCAACAAAGTCGGGGTGTCGGGCGAGGGCCCATCGTCAAAACTAGCACCCCAGGTGGCCTTGTCGGGGCAGGAGACGATATCTGTGGGTCGCGTGCAGCCACCACAGGTCCACCAGCAGTTCTCGTCTTTCCCGGACTTGGCTACGGCATCTGCGTTGGTGGCGTTCATACAGCCACCTAAGCCGGTAGGATTGCTCGTTGGGGCCTTGCTCCAATCAATTTTGCTCATCCATTCTTTGACTAATGGAGAATCTAGAGGAGGAAGACGATCCAATGCTGGATACAACGCAACGTTCAAATTAGTTGAAGGTAGCGGAGGAGCGCCACGAATAGGAGAGGCGGTTCCCGCAGTGTAAGTGGCCGGAAGGGCAGTCATGGTTGAAGGAGCCATGGATTTCATAATTGGAGGATAGTTTAACGTTTGAAGATCTCCCGGTGAAGAAGTGACGGGGGTTGGCACCGGCATTGTTGTAGGCAAAGCAGCTACAGCAGATGAAACTGGTGCAGCAGGGGCTTGACGACCCCAAAACTCATGAGATTCGTGAGCCGCTGTGCTAGTGACGAAGGAGCTGCAAAGAGTGACGAGGATCAACTTCGAGGTGATCCGGCGGTTAAAAGCTACGGCGGTAGCTTTGGAGTCGGATGAAACCATCAAGACGTGATATGAAGGGGTAACAAAGAATGAACTGATAGGAGCTCCAGACCGAAGAGGGGAAATGATACGCATAAAGTTAGCCAGAGTTGTTCAGCATAACAAGGGTGACTGAGAACGCACCGTGGTTTGGAGAGTTGGGTTAGAATTTTGCTTTGCGAGGTTCCGTAGAATGCAAGTCAGCGGGAGACTAAGAGAGGCAGGGAGAAAGAGAGACTTGAAGCCGGACTATGAGGAGAGGAACACTGCGTCCCGTGTTAAGTATGTATAATGTATAGTAATGATGATAAGGAAGAATGAGAAAGGGCTGCTTGGGAAATTTATTTATCGGGGAGAGTTGCCCAAAGTGCGTCTGCTGATAAGCTACGAAAATGAAAGCCGGCTGAATGATATGTCACATAACGCATGGACCAGCTCAAGGGTAAATCCAGGGAGGTCAATGGTTGGGCTTAGACTGTTTTAGACTGGATTGGTGCTACTCTGCAATATTTAATTCGCTAGTCCCACGTCGCAGGCGCCCTATGGGTGAGAATCAGGAAAACCAATTTAGCTTCAAGTCCGCTTGTCAGCTTCTTGAGCCTGCAAGAACGGACCTGTGCGTGGCTGCAAGTTTGGTTGATGAGGCGAGTGGGTCAGAGGATGAGCTGGAGCGGTGGCATTTGCGCCGCCGAGCTTTTTATACTTTATGAGTCGAGCAGATGGACGGGCTCAACTTCGACGGTTCAACACGGATCAAGCGGTCACGGATATGTAATACGGCCAGTTGAAGGAACTTCGAAGGGGTAACTGAGGCCTTCACTCTTCACCTTCCGAGAAGCAACACTGAGCTTGTGACCTGTGCGTGTTCTGTTCACCTCAAAAAAATGGCACACTCGTCATTAGTCATTTCGCTTGGAAAACTCGAATGCAACCAACGCATGAGCAGAAGCAAGGATGAAGAAAGTTGAATTGGAAGCACTCATGCTGCACCCGAATCTCCCTTGATGCCTCTTCATACATGAATATGTAGGCAGCATTATACCCACTTTGATGGCGCAACGTTCATTCTGAAGGTTCATACAGTTCCAAATGCAGGGGAAGACAAACATTAACATCCTTGGTAAAATCGGACATGCTGTCCGTTTGAGGATGCCGGCCTGCCTCGGTTAGCCATTCCAGGCCGGCATACCTCAAAGCTAGCCATGAAACAGTGACATCATGTGATGACGTCTTGACTTTTTCACCCAATCCAAGCGAACCAACAAAGCGTTCAGTGTAACGAAGAACGTATTGAACTACTCAAGATTATTTTGAAACTTTGCAACTATAGAATATTTCTTATTAGCATTAGCACATCCTATCATTACATTAGTAGAGCATCATCACATGCATTTTACTTTACCATAGAGTGCAAGATCACATCCATGAATCAGGACTAACAACAATTACCAACTCAACGTCATGCTTCTGTGCCAAGCCGCCAAGCCTCTGCGCGGCCTGTGCGTGCTCTTGCACTGGAAATGTTTTGTCAAGTTCAAATCAGGAATTGCGTTCCTAAAAGCCATGGCACCAGTACGAGCTTCGCTGTAGGCCATTGGCCGGTTCTCCAAAGTGAAGATCAGATAGAAACTCAAGTTGGAACAGCTGTCGATTCATGGGAACGTAGTCTAACGTAGTGGTTTGCGGTTCTCCACTCTGCATCCTTATCCAGAAAGATAACTTCATAGCGCGATTTTGGCACCGATAAAATCAAGATTTTGCCCCCCCCCCCAACAAAACAGTTTGAATTCTTTGTTAGGGTACATGGCCAGTCATTTTGTCAACTCCAAGGCAGAAATCTGAAAAAACTTCAATTTCAATCAAGTCAATACAATTTTTGTTAGTTTTATATCACGGTTTGGGATCCAGTTTGAATTTGTAGGTTCCATAGTTTACAGTTGCGAACGTCATAAACCTGTACTGACCCGCCTGCAAAATTTACAATTTGCACGCGGGCCCTCATGGTAGGGGGCACATAGGCTCAACCCCCCATCTAACCACAATTTTGAGTGTTTCAGACCGAGGGGAGTTCAGAATTAACTCTGTTAAGGCATCCGACTAACGGTTCTTTTTTTCTTTTTTTTTTCTCCGCCCCATCGGACCCGGTCTACAAATACTTTAGTAAGTACATATGTATGGATTTATAGGTGAATATATGGCTTAAGAAAGGCCATACATTACATAAGTACATGCTTTAAACCCATACCCAAAGGTCAAAAAGCCTTTCAGTAAGGCCAACCTTGGCTCGGAGTCGAACACACAACCTTTGGCAAGGCCCAAAGCCACCTCAGGACCACTAGACCAAAGCACATATGACTTCCTGGGAACCTGGCCGGTTGCTCCCAGGTCAGAAAATTTGCTGATTTGGTAGTATTTTCACAAAAAAAAAATTGCAAAAATTTGGTCCCCAACCGTTGTAGGACTCCTGGGACGGATAGACACGGTAAAGTATATGTATATCAAAAGATCCCTTGAGGGGGAAATAAATTGCAAATAGGTTGAAAGGCTATTACAACTTACGGGTGGTTTGAAAGACCTGCCCCTCTAAATGTACTAAACAAATAACTAAGAGTCTTGTAATCAATATTTAATAATGTATGGCTGATTCCAAGATAGATCTTACTTTCGTAAAGTAATCTCTATCAGACCTAGATCACGTATCAATCTACTAGTGAATCTGTTACAACTTCAGGTTAATAATGGAAACTGTGGTGCTGATGACTTGAGCACGAAACAGATAATTTGTTATAGAGTTTGTTAATGATCTCTTCCTCGAACAATTTCTTGCTAAGGCACTTTAATCAAAAACTAGAGCTCCGGTACTAATATTACTACTGCTTGTTATTGGTTAATTGTTAATGTACTACTACTTATATGATGACTACTACTACTAATATGCTTCAAATTCCGAACTCTGTGTTGGTTTCACGCTTACAATACTGTACTAACTCTCTACTTATTGCTAACTAACTCACTTACTAACTTATTCTTCAACTTGGGTGATCGAACTTACTTCCGTAGGTTGATGTGCTAACTTCACATACTAACTAACTAACTATCACTAATTCTAACTCTCCACTTTACTGACACTCCGGAACACTTCCAGTAGCTCAGGATCAACTTACTGCTCTGCGAGACTTCTGTAGGCTGATGGGGAGAAGGGACTTTCTGGTGGGGAGAGGCCCTTCTTTTATATTGAAGAGTGAGGGATTTCTGCTGCAGGGGACTCCTTGTGAGGGAATATTGCTGCAGGGGATCTCACCTTCACAGCCTTTGCGCACAGCCTCCAAACAAATAGCGCAGCTTATGCTGTGCTAGGAACACTTAACTCCAGACCTTGTTACATAATATGCATGCAAGGGAGCACACAAGCGCAGCATGATGTCATGCATCGCCAGGCAACCAAGCCATCTTCCAGAACATTCTGCATAGGCAGTACCAGCCTGCCAGACCTGCTGTTATCTCCTTCCACCCAGGATTTGGGGGTCAAAGCCTCTCCTCACTCCTTCCTTCCTCCCTCCGCCTCAATATTTTTCCTCCTTTCACTTTCTACAATCTGTACCCTGTACCCTTACGTAAAACATAAAGTACCCTTATTACACGCCGCTCCTCCGTTCCATTCCTGGTTGAGACATGTTCTCCCACTCCTCTCCACGTATATACTTCCGCTCCTCCGTTCCATTCCTGGTTGAGATATGATCTCCCACTCCACTCCTCGTATGCACACCGCTCCTTTGTTCCATTCCTAGTCGAGATGTCTACAATAGAATGTAACCCCTTGGGTTACATAACAATTATTATTATGTGTAATCTTTAAGTTAATAATTATTAAGTAATGTTATCCCTTTTTACATGTATTTTTTATGTTAATAATTATTCTGTAAATTAATAAAGATTCACCTCTTTATTAATTTACCTCTTGTATGAAAATTATAATCAAGTTGAAAAGGATAATTATCTCCTGGGTGTATCCAAGAGATGATTATCCAATTTACCTCTCTTGTGTGTATGTTTATTATGTTTATCTCTCTTATGGTATTTTCTGAAATAAAAGATATTCAACACATGTACATTTATCATGCTCTGAATATCCTGACACTTTCCCCCAAGGAAAAGTGTAACAATAAGGGGACTGCACCGGTCCCAGCAGCAGAATTGACCCCTGCTCTGTAATATTTAAGAGGATGCCTCTCCCCCTGAGATTCATCCCCCAGACAATATTACCATACCAACCCAACTACCTTACTAAAACATATACTTAGTGAGTGGGGTTTTTTAGTAATATATTATCTACATAAACTTGTTGTACATTTTCCTTTATCTCATTACTAGTCTTTATAAGTTACCTTATTAACTTATAAGACTAGCACAACTCTATTCTTCTTATTATCTTAAGCTCAGGCACTGTGAGGCTCATTCCACAGCTGTCCCTTATTCTTATAAGGAGCTAGTCCCTCCACTGTATCAGTGTAGAGTTGGACTTTATTTCCACTGGCCCTCTTGGCTATAGTGTGACCCAAAAACCCTATCAACTCTAGGTCACATAAGAGACCAGAGCTGACAATTGGGGGTCTGGCCGGGAAATTTTTTTCCGGTGTACCACCCTTATTAAGATTTTTAATTTTTTCTTCCCTTACAGAAAAAATTATAAAAGTTATCTGTTGAACTTATTTCCAGATAAAACCTCTCGAATTCTAATCCTAATTTACCGAACCGCGTAACTGATCTGGGTTATTTCCTTCTGTTCTCAGATCCTTACCCAGCTCTCCCATTGTAACCCTCGATCAGATTTAACCATCTGGTTTATACAGGTGTGTCGAGTCTATCTCTCCCCAACTCATATTCTGGGATACTGTTACCTCATACTGATCGATCCTCTCTATCATTTCCCAGGTCGAAGCATTTGAATATCGATCTTCTTCTAGTACCTGATACTTACAAGTGAGTAGCGCGAGGATCTCAGACATTCTTGCCGACTCTGATAAGATCATCTATTTACTTATTTTCTTGACGACCTGTGATCTTTTGTTTCTTGATTGTTGCACAAACAGTGTCTAACACCGATCAAACTAAACCCGCCTCTGTCAAGAGTTATTCGGAAGCCATCTCGGCCTCTGAAGGTACTCGCTCCGAACCGAGCAAGCAACTCAAGACGACCCCCAAGAGACCGAAAAAGCAGTTCAAGAGCCCAGAAGTCGTACCCTCGGAGTGGGACAGAGACTCGGACTCGTCAGCGAAGAAGGACGGACCTCAAGCTAACACCGCTCCTGTTACTAAACTAGCTAAGACGGTATCTAAAACTA